CATTTAAAAATGAAATAGAAAACTTGAATAATACTATAAATCAACTAGACCTAACAGACATCTATAAAATGCCCAATCCCAAAACAGGCTTTACGTTATTTTTAAGTGCACATTCTCCAAGATAGACCCTGTGTTAGATTACAAAACAAACTTCAATAAATTTAAGAGGATAGAAATAGTTAAAAGAGTGTCTTCTGACCATAGCGGAATTAAATTGGAAATGACAATTTTGTTTGTTTGTTTGTTTTCTTAATGTCTGATAACATGAAGTATTGGCAGGAATGTAGGGGAATGGAATAATCAAGCTTCACAATCAGGAGTATTAATGATTCTAACTACATGCATCAGTAACAAAAAAATCACTTTTGAGAATTTACTCCAGCTAATACCCAGTGTGTGTGAATTTTTTATAATACAGAAAAATTAAAAGTATCTTAATTTGCTAAATTTAGGGGACTGAAAAAATATGCTGATTTGTACACATCAGATGGAAATCCTATGGAGCAGCTAATAAATGAACTTTATGTAAACATATCAACATAAACAAATCCTACAACACTGAGGGAAAATGACAGTTTCCAAAAGAATATGTACAGTATCATACCATTTTCATTATTTCAAGAGGTGTGTGTATATATATATATACACACACACACACAAACACATACATTATTAAGTTTAAATCATAGATGGCAATGATGGGCACAAAATTCTACTGGAAAAGTGTAGAGATTGTGGTAGTTAGCTGTATCAGATGTATGGAAAGAGAGACAACAAATAATATGCACATATGTTAAGAAAATATATATTTTTCAAAATATTAAATTTAGATCTTGGAAGCTAAAAGTATGTTTTATATCTTCCTGTTTTTTAATATACTGGAAATGTTTTCTTACAAAGGAGAAGGATTTTCAGTTGGAAGGATATGTAAATATTAAATTTGTTTGACATTTCCCAGTTTTCTTGAAGAGGTAAATCTGATTTTAAAAGAATGTTAAGAGGTCATGATAGCCTATTAAAAAGGTTAATAAACAGACAAGCTTTCCTATTTATCACTTAATTAACTTTAAGTTGCTTTGATTTTAAGTTGTTGTAATGTGATCATCATATCAATATATAATGTATTTTCTACTACTACTGTATTCGAATCAAATGATAATAGATAATGTTGACAAGTGATACTTGCTTCAGTGCATAAATCACTCTTTGTCCTGTTACTGATAATTTATTAATAATTAGAATTGCAGAATATGAAGTAATATAGGTTCTTATTTATAAATGACATTGTCCTAAATTCAAAAATAATTTATAAACATAAAACTATGATAGATGTAGTTATAACTCCAAAGTCCTATGTTAAGTGCATGTAGATAATGGCAACATGGCATGTTAAACAAATATTTGAAGGGAAAAAAGATGCCATTTATCAAATAAAAAAAGTCAGAAAGATTTGCTTATCCATATGAAAAGAAAAATATGAATACACTTGACTGTATAAAAGATAAACAAGCTGAAAATTAAGCCACAGAATGAGGGTAAATATTTTCAACACATCGTTTTTATAATGGCCACCACTGTCTACCCCTCAGTCCTGTAGTAAACAACCACGTGGATGGGAGCCGACAATTCCAGTGTGGCTTGCTGGTGCTAGGGTAGATGTAGGTACAGTGTACTTTAAAAATTAGGGTAGTGTGTTTTGACAATTGCTTTTTATTGCTAAGTTTCTGGTACAGAGACTGGCCACTGATTCAAGACTTCAGGCTGGGCTGGGCATGCTGGCTCAAGCCTGTAATCCCAGCACTTTGGGAGGCCAAGGCAGGTGATCACCTGAGGTCAAGAGATCGAGACCAGCCTGGCCTACCTGGTGAAACCTCACCTTATTAAAGATACAAAAATTTGCCAGGCGTGGTGGCACACACCTGTAATCCCAGCTACTCAGGAGGCTGAGGCAGGAGAATCGCTTGAACCTGGGGGGCAGAGGTTGCAGTGAACCGGGGTCTTGCCATTGCACTCCAGCCTGGGTGAGAGAGTTAGACTCTGTCTCAAAAAAAGTAAACCCAATAAAAAAACATGTACAGAGATCCAAGATGGCTGATCGCTAACAGTTCGGGATTGTTTCTCCCAGTGAAGGCACAGAGAATGAGAGGACGCCACACTTTCAGACGAATTTTCGTCGCTCAGGGACCAGAAGACTCCCAGTGGAGGGGCCCCACGGGTCACCAGCGTGACTCCTGTGGCTGGCGCAGCAGTTTCGCCAGCACCTCAGTGCAGCAGCTCTTCATGCAGAGTAAATGGGAGGAGATTCCTGGGCAGAAGAGCACCATTAGTCTTATCGCTGCTGTTTTGGCCGGCACAGTGGGTTGCTCGGATTCCAGTGCTGGGAATCAATAAACTGGGCATCCACTCAGAAACCCAACTAGAAAGGCGGTAATTGTAAAGACGACAGAGGGATAAATTTATAACAAAGGGAAGAAATCAGCCTAAAAAGGCTGAGAATACCCAAAATCAGAACCCCTCTCCCTCTACAGGGGATTACAGTTTCTCATCAGCAATGGAACAAGCCCTGATGGAAAAGGACTGTGTGCCATTTTAGAAGTAGGCTTCAGAAGGTGGATGATAAGAAACTTCTGGGAGTTAAAAGAACTTGTTCTAACCCAATGTAAAGGAACTAAAAACTTTGAAAATAGGTTTGACGAAATGCTAACAAGAATAGATAATATAGAGAGGAATATAAATGAACTAACGGAGTTGAAAAACACAACACGAAAACTTAGCAAAATACATACAAGTTTGAATAGTCTAATTGATCAAGCAGAAGAAAGAATATCAGAGGTCAAAGACCTACTTAATGAAATAAAATGAGAAGACAAGAATAGAGAAAAAAAGGATAAAAAGGAATGAGCAAAGTCTCCAAGAAATATGGGACTATGTGAAAAGACTTAATTTACGTTTGGTAGGTGTACCTGAATATGACGAAGAGAATGAATCCAAGCTGGAAAATACTCTTCAGGATATTATTCAAGAAAACTTTCCAAATCTAGCAAAGCAGCACAATATTCAACCCCAGGTAATACAGAGAACACCCCAAAGATATTCCTCAAGAAGAGCAACCCCAAGGCACATAATAGTTAGATTCACCAGGGTTGAAACAAATGAGAAAATACTAAGGGCAGCCAGAGAGAAAGGTCAGGTTACCCACAAAGGGAAGCCTATCAGACTTACAGCAGATCTCTCAGCAGAAACTCTACAAGCCAGAAGAGAGTGGGGGCCAATATTCAACATCCTTAAAGAACAGAACTTTCAGCCCAGAATTTCATATCCTGCCAAACTAAGCTTCACAATTGAAGAAAAAATAAAATCTTTTATGAACAAGCAAGTACTCAGAGATTTTATTACCACCAGGCTGGCTTTACAAGAGCTTCTGAAAGAAACATTATACATAGAAAGGAATGACCAGTATTAACCTTTCTAAAAATACACCAAAAAGTAAAGAGCATCAACATAAAGAAGAATTTACATCAATGAATGGATAAAATAGCCAGTCAACATCAAATGGCAGTAACCCTAAATTTAAGTTGACTAAATCCCCCAATCAAGAGATACAGCCAAAACCTAACAATATGCTACATCCAGACGCATTTCACATCCAAAGATACACAAAGACTTAAAACAAAGGGATGGAGAAAATTTACCAACCAAGTGGAGAGCAGAAATAAATAAATAAATAAATAAAGAGCAGGAGTTGCAATTCTCGTATCTGATAAAATAGATTTCAAAGCAACAAAGATATAATGGTAAAAGGATCAATGCAACAATAGAGTTAATGATCCTAACACCCAGATACATAAGACTCATAAAGAGATTTAGACTCAATGAGACAGAAAATTAATAAGGATATCCAGGACTTGAACTCAGATCCGGAACAAGTAAACTCAATAAATATTTATAGAGCTCTCCATTTTAAGTACATAAAATATACATTCTCCACCTTAAATACGCTAAATATTGATCGGCCATTATTAATACCCATTTTTAGAATACAGCTACATTCCCGTTTTCTCTCCCTCTTTTTCTTCCTCTCCTTCACTCCTTTTTTTTCTTTCTTTCAAAAAAAAAGTATAAAAAAAGAAAGTAGGGAGACCTGTTTTCATATCCACACTCTATAACTGAAAAAGCCTTTGCTCTACCATACCCACAGTCTTCCCTCTAGAGTATAGACCTTAACTAGAAAGGTAGAAAAATATTGGAATAAAAAAGAAAAAGAAAAAGAAAAACATGTGCAAAGGGTGTGAAGGCATCTAGTAAAAACAATAACAAACCAACAGTTAAAAAACACTCAATGTCTAATAAAAATCCATAAAATTTATATTTCAACAGATGAGAAAAATGTCATTTCACAGCTATGAGAATGACCTTATGCTGTGTTTCAAACACAGAAGACTTCTCTTCTGAAATAAAAGGACAAAATACAGTTACAAAGACTCTCTGATAGACCTGAGGCTCCTCTCAGCTGTCTTCTCTACCAGGCCTCAACCTTGACCTGTGGAAACTATGGACTGTCAGTACAAATTATTTGCCCCCAACTATCCCATTAAAAAACATGAACAATTTTTCTAACAACTCCGTGCTGCATCCCTAGGACGACAACTGCAGCCTCTGTAAGTTCCCGCCTTGGAAAACTCAAGGCTGCCGGAAAAATACGTTATTTTTTACAGCCAACATCTGGAAACAGGGCCCCCATATCCTGCCCTCTGAGGAGGGTAGGAGCCTAATTTCACTTAGAGCCAGTTAACAAACCCAGATGGGCTTCACTAGGACTCATACCCTCTTTTTGATTTTTGTAAATGCCTGCTTCCCTGACTCTGCACAGTTCCTACTTCCAACTCCCTCTTACCTTGGAAGTACCCAATTGCCTCTACAAACATAGAAGTTTAATTCAGTTCACAATACATCATCTTCCCTACTGCAACAGTTTATTATCGATTAAAATCTGCCCTTACCACTTTAGTGTCCAATTTTGTTTGTCTTTGACAATGGCGAAGAGATTTTTATGTTGTTTTGATGTTTAAACTTGACCTTTCCAGCCTCTTGCCTCCTGGAATGTGACAAAATGCTTGCAAGAATTTGAGCAGTGCTGGATCCACAAGGGTGAAAATCACTTGCTAAGGATAGCACTGAAGGAAGAAATAAATAGCTTAGATCTTTGATAATATCTTCAAGTAATGACCTCTGAGTAGTATTGGACTGGCTAGTTTTAGATTATTCATTACATAATAATAACCATTTGTTTGAGATGAATTTCCATATTTACAAAGAAAAACAATATTACCTAATGTACTTTATCATGCAACTTAACTATTACATGATGTTGAAAAGATTTCTATAAAAGTGAGGGAACTGGAACATTTTACTTAATAGTGTCCCCTTAGTTCTGAAATTCTACTACCCATACAAATATTCTGACTAAAAGGACTTTTGAAGCTTTTTGGCAATATTAGACATTATACTGATGATTAAAACTCAGTAACTTGCTTGTGTCTTTTGAGAACCTTGCTAAATTTTTGATATTTTTCAAGTAAACATTTTAATCTGCTAATATCTACTTATATCAAGTCAGAACATTAGAAATCTAAAAATGTGTTTGACTTACTAGATTTGTATTTATCATTTCCATTACCTGTTAACTTAATTAACTTCCATTGAGTGTGACAATCTGTTAGAAATATCACAATTAGTTCTGCATATGCTGCAATTCCTAAGTTTACCTCAGGACATTTACACTTGAAAACAGACTCTCAGGAATAGATATAGACAGGGCATTTCCAGTAGTTCATGTGCATATTCAAACAAAAGTAGATTCTGGGGCCAGAATATGTTTTTAAAATATTAATTAATGCATGTATATGCTTATTTTTGTCTTAGAAACTCCTCCTTTATTGACTCGGCACTTACACCTTGATACTCTAAAGAAAATTTGAATAAGTCCAGCTTTGTAATAAATGTTTGGGAAAATGCTGCAGATACTTCAAGGTAGTAAATAGAGATACAACCCAAAATGCCTGAGAGGCGGAATGCAGAGGATGTGAAGTGGGTGGACATGTGGTGCAATTTAAAAAGACGAGAACCTGAAAAGACAGATGTGGTTTCTAGTGACCTTGGCAATTTAAAAATGATGGAACACTTCCTAGTGTGAAATTCAAAACAGAATAACAACATTAATACCTACAATAAATGAAGAACTTGAAAAAAATTCCATGATTGCTATTTTAAACTAGTCATTTATTTGCAATGTGAAAATCCAATTATTTCAAATTGATGTTAACTTATTTATCTATGGTCTTGCTTTATTTGATGGCATAAATACATGCCTCCTTGATGATATGTGTAGAAGCATTTCATGCCACTTTATAGACGGAGCTCAGTGCAAGGATGCCCAGAGACGTAAAAGTGGAGTCTTGAATCATGGAATGCACAGCCAGGACTGGACAGCCCAGGAACTTGAACCCAGAATTGCCTGATTCTAATGTCCAGTTTTCTACACTTTTCAATTCTTTTGATATCAAAGTAATTGAAACATCATAATTTTATAGTAAAGACAAACTTGGAAATATGAGATACACGTAATCCTCTTTTCAGAAAAGAACAAATAGAAGAAGCAGATGTTTTCGTTCCCAGCCTGAAACCAGACGGAAGAAAAGTCAAAGTGAAGAAATGTGAAGGGTTTTAGCCAATGAAGAAAGGGGACAGAATCAACCCATGAGCCCCAAACTCCAAGAATTTTGTCCAATAATTATTTTCTACAACATATTATACCTCAGGAAATATTAAAGTAAAATTTGCTTCATTTCAAAATCAAAATCTCTCCAGCTTATTTCCCAAAATATTTTTTATTGTAAACTCTATAAAAATATCACCCTGTGGCCAACATGATTAAAAATACTGCATACTACACTACCCCATACTACCTTATGAATTTCAAGCGGAATTACAAATACAAGGCACTGAGTTAGCATAAAGTAAGGAAACTTGTATACTTTAACATTCTTTAGGATGGCTACTAATATCCTGTAGACTAGTGTGTTATTGTAAAAAATTTGGGAGATATCTCAGGTGCTTATTTTTCTCTTGTTATTTCTAGGTCTCTATGGGAGGATTAAACACTACACAATAATTTAGAACAGACTCAACCTGAATGTTATGTGTTATATATCATGTGAATAGTTCACAAAATGTAATTGTGATGCAAATAAGAAATGTGTTTTTAAGTAAAAATACTGATGCTCAAACCAAATAAGAAAGAAAAACTAAAAATTGGAAATATTAAAATAAAATGGCTAAAAGTTAGTCTCCCATAATTGGAATGTTTTTAAGAACAAAAAATGCTAGCATTTCATATTTAGCACATGCTCTAAAATAAATTTGCCTTGAGTTTATCAGAATGGTTTTTACGGTAATATTCTTTTCCAGTGGTTCAAATTGTTCAGTGTAATTTATATTTCCCCTTGATAACTATTTGTGTAGTTGAATTATTTGTTAGCGGTAGATCACCTTTTTGCTGAATGTGAAAATGTAACCACCAATTACCATAGGTGTATTCACCCATTACATTGTGCTGAGTCAACTTACTGTTATCAAATATGACTAGTATATATATCATTTCTAGTTAATGAAATGCTTTCCTTCGTACAGAAGTATACCTTGGAAGATTGTCAGTTATCTGAACAAACTAAGAATCAAAGCAATCTATTTAAGAACATTGAACATTTCTTTTTGGATTCAAAAACTGATCCTAAACCACCTTTCAGTGACTTAGGGTTATCTTGTTAAGTAAGCATTAAGATTATATTGTCCATGCTTTACATTCAATAATAATAAAAATTATATTTGATAAACTACAATCTAATTATGAGAAAAACATTAATCCCTTCCATATCTCTTAAATCATATTCCTATTTTAATTTACTTCCTTTAGCTATAAGTTGCTCTCATTGGGTCAATTTCTGATTCATTGGCTTTCATAATTAATACAAATAGTCTGCATAATCATTAGATGCACAAATAACTGGGCCTTTTGAAAATTACTTAATAAAATGAGAAGACATATAATTTGCTGATTACACAGACAAAAATAATAATGCCAAGAATAATATATCTTTATGAAAATAGAATAATATAATTGAGAAGACTTTAAGACAGCCTGCTCAGGATTAAAGCTATAGTTGAAAAAATTAGCACTGCCGCTATCTAGTTTTTAAATAATTATTTATTAAGGGTTTGTCATATACATTGCTTATGTATGCAATCAATAAAAATTAATACTTGTACATAGGTAGTACAAGTCCCTGCTATGTGCAAATCACTTTGGTAGGTAATGGATGAAGAGATTCATATAAAGAAATAAAATGATCATTGTCAGTACCCTGAAAGCAGACACCAGTGGAAGAAACTGAATATACACAAATATTGCCTGATAGAAAGTAGTAATTTGGGGAGGTGGAATATAGTAGTATGATAGTAAAAACAATCTGTACCTATCTGTTTCATATTTGTATATTAGATTTATTCTAGGAACATTACAGACATTAACTTTTTTTCCCACAACACTGTGAGTTAGGCAAAATTATTATCTATTATTTTACGTTATAGAAAAATGAGCCACAGAGAATTCATGTACCTATGGCGAAGGATGGGACCAGGCACATACAGCAAGAAGCAGAGGGCCAGAGCCTATACAATTGATTATCTGGTTATGTTGTATTTGGAATTTGAACCGAGGAGGATATTCTCTGAAAATAACAACTCCCTGGCTTTCAGAGTCTTCTTAAAAGGCGAATTCACATTGGTGAAGTTACAAAACACCACAAGCTGTTTTGTAAACAGAAAATATTTTTGGTCAGTCTACCGGAATAGATCTGTTTTCTAGGGACATCTGAAATCTGTTTAGTTAATAAGCAATTACATAAAGCCCCAAATGCCAATCATTTATACAGGCAGTATATGAAAATAACTAATATATAATATTCTCTCTTCAAGTAGATCTCCACTGGAAGACAGATTATAATCAGAAGATGGGTAAATTTGAGATAAGCTGAGTGAGATTAAGATTGAGTGAGAATATTAACTCCATCATATTCATAATGGGAGTGATGGATGCCATCGTGACATGATCTCCATTTTATATATTCATGTGAAAAGAATGCATGAGAGTCCCAGCGCAGTGGCTCATGTCTGTAATTACAGGCACTTTGGGAGGCTGAGGCAGGTGTATAGTCTGAGATCAGGAATTCAAGACCAGCCTGGACAACATGGTGAAACCCTGTCTCTACTAAAAATACAAAAATTAGCCAGGTGTGATGACAAGAGCCTGTAATCCAAGCTACTCAGGAGGCTGAGGCAGTAAAATAGGGATGCGGAGGTTGCAGTTAGCCAAGATTGCACCATTGCCCTTCAGCCTGGGCAACAAGGTGAGACTTTGTCTCAAAAAAAAAAAAAAATGAGCATATGATTTAGTATGTATTTTATCTAAGGCATAGATCTCAGGGGAATGTCTTTCTTTATTTTTATTTTTTGAGATGGAGTTTCTCTTTTATGACCCAGGCTAGAGTGCAGTGGCACAATCTCAGCTCACTGCAAGCTCCGCCTCCTGTGTTCAAGGGATTTTTTTTTTTGTTTGCCTCAGCCTCCTGAGTAGCTGGGATTACAGGCACCTGCCACCATGCCCGGTTAATTTTTTGTATGTTAGTTGAGACGGGGTTTCCTCATGTTGGGCAGGCTGGTCTCGAACTTCTGAGCTCAGGTGATCCACCCTCCTACACCTCCCAAAGTGTTGAGACTACAGGCGTGAGCCACTGCCTCCAGCCAGGATTATCTTAATAGATGATCTTTCGCAAATATGTGTATGTATAACTGAAAACTATACATTGTATTTTCAGGAAAAAGTACAGAATGCATGAAAGCTTAAATATGAACATAATAATAATAATATAACACATAGAGTATTATCTTTTATAATATGCATTTTCTGTTTACTCGTTTTAAAATAAGATGTCAAAATAAACATTTATTTATGTCAGTAGAATAATCTTAAAAATTCTCACTTTATAACGTTTTCTAATCTGTTAATAGGATGTTATCATTTAATTAGATATTTGCTTGCTTTTGTGTTTAACTTTTT